GAGCAAAGAATGGATCTTTGTGGGGTGATGGAATACATCACTTCAGTTTCTCATGGGTTTGTATCTTTTGACTGCTAAACCTTCTTCCCTGCTGCGCTAACCCCAGTTCCATTTCAGAGCACCTGCTGGGCAAAACCCAGCACCTTCTGGGACTTCCTCAGAGCAGCACGTGTGCTCCTCAGCAGGCAGTGTGTGTGCCCTGCTGGCCTGCCTGCTTTAGGCTAATGGAAAATGATTTTTATGCTTTGGACTTAGCTGGTATTTCACATGCCTTCCTGGTCACTGCTTTCTTTTCACAGTGTGAAAATGCGCAGAGAACTTTGGATAACAAATCTAATTTCTCTCTTTGCTTGAATTCAAGCAATGGGCCCCCAGGTTGTTGGGGAAGGCTGGAACTGAAGCACCTGACAGAAGAGTGTGTGCTCCCTTTGCTTTAGAAACCAGGCAAAAAAGATGATTAACCAGGCAACCATTTATTTTTTCAAGACAGGAAGTGATGGCTGCAGCCTTGTATTTAAAGGTTTATTTTAGCAAACAATGTTAATTCTCCCAGCTGGTGTTTGCTGCAGCTGGACTCCTTCCCTGCTTACAAGCTTACGTGATCTCATGGAAAATGACCCAGGATCTCTTCTCTTGGTCACAGAGGTGTTTTCTTCTGCATCTTCCTGACTGCAAAGCTTATCCTGTGCCATTTCTCACCTCTGCAGAGGGATGGCATTGCATTGCTGTCTCTGCCTCTTCTGCCTGACTTTCAAGTGGATTGAAGCAACCTTATGGGATCCATTTGTCTGATAGGGTGGGAAACCTGCAGCAAAGGGTAGGTGGCTGGGGACAGTCGAGTGAGAGCTGCTGGGTCCAGCAGAGACCATCCTCTTGTGGCTGGAGGTCACCTTGTTCCTCTTCTCTGGGAACTCAGTGTAGTGGACAGCCATGAACTGCATGTTTTGTCTCCACCATCTACAGCCACCTCACTTCCAGTTTGCCTGAGGAAGGAGCGGTTTCCTGGGAATCTGGAAAACTGGCTTGTGCTAGACAGTAATGTTGTTCTAAGGGTACTGCTGCAGTAGAAGTAATTAAACCCCTCCCAGTGTAGACACGGTTAAACTGAGACATGTCTTTTAGCCTGGTTTCCTATGGAAACGAGCCTTATGCAATCCTGCTGTCTGTCAGCCTTTCTCCCCCTCCTCCCCCCAGTAGTTTTTGCACTGGTTGGCCAATTTCAACCAAATGCGACAGAAGTCTCCAAGCTGTCAAGTTTCTACAGATTTTGTGGAAATAGGTGTTTGCATAGAGCAGAGAGACTGTGTTGGAGCCCATTTCAGAGGGAAAGGGTTTGACTCATACTGGTCACTGGAGAATCCCAACATGGAGGAAAGCTTGAAATGCCTCTGGTGTGGGAACAGGTGGAGTTGGAGTCTGCACCTGTATAAAACATTGCCTTGCAAACTCGGATCAAACTTAAGGGCAGTTCATTTTGTCGAGGTGGCTGCTCCCTTCCTCTGCTGGAAATCCCCCTGCCAGGGCAGGAGGATTGGCCTGTGTAGGAAACAACCTGAAATGCTGCTGTTCATAGCCTGGTTTAACAGAACAGCCTTAAATGAGTACGGTTAAAAATACTCTGGCTGCAAGGGTCGGTGTTTTAGAAGCTATCCCTGCTGGGAGAGGCAGATGGTTGGAGGCCATAATAGCTTCAGTTCACATTTAATCCATGGGTGTTTGGAGTCAACATCCTTGGAGAGACAGATCGGGTGACTGTGAGAGACAGTTGTAGCAACCCAGACTTAATCCCAGTGCATGGCTGATATGCTGCTGTTTGCCTGTGGTTTCAGCAGTACCAGAGTCTGGGACAGGAGCAAAGTCAACAGAGTTTGTCTGGTTTGAATGGTTCCCTCCAGTGTGCCGTGTGCTGGAGTGGTTTGCACCGAGGTGCTTGACATGCCAGACACAAGACCTTGGGCTTGGAAGCAGTTACTTGGACTTGCAGTTGGTTACTGGGCAGAAACTGGGCCCCAGTGATGTGTCCTTGGCTGGCCGGCAGCATTTGCGGTTGTGACTGGAGCAATGGCGTGGGACATGTGGGCAGGACACAGTGAAAGCTCTGTGGAGTGAGGAGGAGGAGGCCAGCGGTTTTTCCACCTGTTTTCTCCTGCAAATCTGAAACGGGGAAATGCTCTGTTCCCCTTCATCTCTCTCTGAGGACACTTCTAGGCAGTAATTTTTTGTCTAAAATGACATTACTTCAGCCCGTGGCATTTCTCCTTGTTTCATCCCTGTTTTCCTAGTGGTGGAAAACCCCGTTCTGAGTGCTGGCTGTGCATGGGGAGAGCACTCTGATGATGTACTGATTACAGCCCTGAGGCCTCTCAGGCCCTGTCCTGGCTCACAGCTGATGTGGAGATGGTGTGGTCATGTGTGGACAACCTGGCCTGGGCTCTGCACTGCTGCAGCTTAGCAAGAAAAAGTGCAAACAGCGAGTGGCTTTTAACTCTCCCTCTTGCTGAGACAGTGTTTGCTGCAGTATCTTCCATCAGTGATGTCAGAGATGATGCTGTTGGCAATTATCTGCAGGCATTTCATTAAAAAAAGACCAACTTTCTTCTCTCCTTTTTTTCCAAAAGTCACTGATTCTGTCCGCTCTTGTCTTTTAATAAGTGTGTGGTGGGTAGGGCCAGATTTCTGATAGAGATAATACAGAGCATCATTTTCCCATCCTGAAAAATGTGGAAACGTGGAAACAACTGGAAGGCAACAACTTCTGCCCCTGTGGGAACAGTAGTTACTACAGAAGGAGAAAGGGAAATCTCAGAGGGATATCCTTCCCTACGTAACTGATGCAAAAGGCCCTTGAAATGACTACAATACAAAGAAAAGGGTATTTCAAAGTGGGCTTTGGGTCCTCTTGGCTGTGTTCAGGCACTGTTTCAGCTCCTGATCAGGTGCAAGTGTTGCAGCAGAGAGGCTGTGATGCATGTCTGTGGTGATTTTGTGATTCAGTGAGTGCCTTTGGGATGGCAGTACCTCAGCTTCCTCTTTGAAGTTCCTTGGAAAACAGCTTGTGTGTGCATTTGCCTCAGTGGACAAGCAGAGTAACCAAATTACGTCCTCTAATTCCATCTTGGCCTTCTGGTAAGCTCTGTGCATGTGGGTGACGCAAGGGTGGTGTCCATCCCCATGCTGACATAAATGAAATCAGTCCCTGGTGAAACATCTTCCTCTGGGGTTCAAAGATACAGCCCTCACTTCTGCTGGTCTACATCCCCCTGCTCTGGCTGGTTCTCCTTGTCTTTCCAAGCTCCCACCAGCTCCAGCTGTGTCTGGGTGCTGCCCCGGGGCTGTTGGTTGCCCTCTCCCCGACGAGCTCTGCCCCACATCACTGCAGCTCTGGCTGGCAGCTGCTGTGGCCTTGCTGCCATTTTCCACAGTGGCTTTATGAGGTGCTGATGCTCCCTGTGCCGGCATCGGTGTTATTTTTGGCACTTTGCTTCGGGCTGAGATTCTCATCTTTTGGCTTGAAAGTCTAGCTGCTGCCTTTTAACTTGCAAGTGGAGAAGGACAGGATTCAAATCTGAAGGTTCCAGCCACCTGAAGAGCCTTGAAAGACAGCATATTTTATCACTTACATAAATGCCATATTTTCCCACTATATAAAACCTTCTGTTCCTTCTCCTGTCTGCTCCTACATTCCTGTGAGGGGTCTGAAACAGGGATTGCCTTGGATATGCCTGTATGGGGAGTATGAGTTGCCCCATCGGCACCCTGAAGTGGGAGGCTGCAGCAGAGGCGAGGTGGTGAGTTTGAGCTGTTGAGCTCCTGTGGCTCCTTGTCCTTCACGCAGACATCTGCTAATGTGTATCACTTTGGTAAGGTGCCTCATACCTTTGCCATTCTGCATTACACCCCTCCTCACACACCAGGCTCTGTGCTGGATGGTGAATGTTTTAGAAAGCTAAATGCCTAGAGAAAAGTGTTTTCATCGGCAAACCTCAGAGACAGGGCTCTACCAGTCCCTCCAGGATGTCTCTGCAGCTCTCTCCAGTGCTGCTGTGGGGCAGGAGGGGATGTTCCAGCTCTGCAAGGAAGGACTGCTAGACTTGGTGACTCGCAGCCAGTGGTGCTCACACTGGTCACTAGAGTCATTAAGAAAGTCTCACCTCTTATCTCCTCTAAGCTGCCTTTCTTTTCCAGCAAGGACAGAACTAGAGTTGTCCTGGGAGTGGATGAGTTACAGAAACAATTATTTGCATTAAAGTGAACCGCTGGATCAGCAGAGTGTAATATCCAACCCAAGCTCCCTGCCTTGGGAGCAGCTGTTCTTTGTCACTCTGCACAGGGTGATGTCCAGAGAAAAGCTTACTTTGCAAAGAGAGCTTCTGAGACTGCACAGATTAGAGGAGGAGTCAAAACTGTTTAAAATGTCTGTAGGCTTTAAAACCAATCATGGTGTATGGATGCAGTGGCATGCAGTGCAGTTGGGGCTGTGCAGTCGGCATGATAGTGAACTACACGTGCACACAGGCATAGCAGTGTTTGAGCTTACTAGAAATCTTGGTGTTGGAGACTCTCAGGTCATTGTTTCGTGGGATTAAAGTACTCGTTGGTAAAACAGGTTGGGATTAAGGAGTAAAAAACTGGTTTGTGCTGGTAAGCAAAAGCAGAAATAGGTCCACCATGCTCATCCTGTGGCTCTGAATGCACAACATAGAATCAGTGTGCTGAGGTTACCACATAGCAGTCCAAGGTGCTTTTAACCACTGGAGTCACAGTTATGTTGGTCTGGAGTAGTTTGATTTCCCCTGGTGAGGGGAAAGGTTTCATGAATGAGAGGGAAATTCTAGTTCATGCAAGGTGTCTGTCTCCTTTTTGGAGCTAAAAATTTTCTTTTGTGAGGGTGGGAGCAGAGAGAAGAGGGGAGGTGATGTGTTCCAGTCCAAATCGGTGGCAGAAATCAGTGTTCATTTCTGAAAGGACTCTCACTTCTAATTTCTTTTGTCTATTTAAGCCAGTGAAGAAAAAGAAGATAAAACGCGAGGTTAAGATTCTGGAGAATCTACGTGGTGGCACCAACATCATTAATCTGATTGACACTGTCAAGGATCCAGTGGTAGGTGCCCGTGTGTCGTGTGTGGTGGGATTGCCCTTCCTCTGGCTGCAGGCATGGGACAGGTTTGGATGGGTTCCTGTTCCTTTCCATGTTCCCCAGACTCTTTAAGGCCCCTTCTCTGTCTTCTGTGAGTTCTCATGGCTGATGGGGGGAAATCTTTTGAAGCCCTATAAGAAAGTAGAGCCTGTAGCCTTCTAGCTTTTGTCTGGCATCTGGAGCCTAAGTACCAGCCAGGGCAACTGGAAATGAAGCACTTTGATCCTTCTGGTTGCTGTCCTACCCAGTGACCAGCAATCATGTCACTGGTCTGCACTGCCACAATTGACCCATTCCCAGGAAGTTTTCTGTGACGAGCAGCTGGCTGAGGTCTGTGACTCCCATCCTGCTGGCAGCCATGAGAGGAAGTGATGCTGCTCTAGCATCGGCAGTCCTGGCTGACCTTCCTCCTGCAAGGAAGGCTGTGAGGGCTTAGCTCCTGGTGACACATTCTGCCTTGCCCAGTGCTGTCCCTGCCCCTTGGCGTGGGGATCAGCAGCACTGGCCACAATGCTGAGGTGGTGCTTGGCGTGTGGGGTATAAGCAGAGCTGCCTCCACCTTTTACAGGAGCAGGGCTGTGCTTCTCTCCCTGTCTTGCTGCTGCCCTGCTCTCCCTAGTGAGGGTTGGGCAGGAAGCAAAGGCTTTTTAAGGTCTCTTGCAGCAAAGAAAGGTCAAGTGGGTGTTTTAAACCATGACTCTCTTTCCCTTGCAGTCAAAGACCCCTGCTCTGGTGTTTGAGTACATCAATAACACAGATTTTAAGGTGAGTTTGCTTGAGTGTGGAGGAGGGAGGCTTCCCATTTCTGTTAAGAGTGCTGTGATTGCCAGATAACCCTCAAGAGCTGTGGGGAGAGTTTGGAGTTTTCACCTATGTCAGCTTCACTTTGTTTTCTCCATGTAAATCAGAAACCTGTTACTGGGCTCTAGATTGAAAGGAATAAAAAGTTTGTGTGCTGCATCTTCTCCCAGCTCTGAGGAGTAAGTTCAACAGGTTAGATATTCTTACTCCCCTCTCAATTTAGTAATCACTGCTGTGTTATATATTCAGCCCAAGTTAATCCCTGTGCTGTGGTGCTCTGCTTACAGCAGTGCAGTTGATGGAGCAGGTGACACCAATTTTTTTCTGGAATCCTTCAGACCTGGGGACTTTGGGGTGGCAGAGACTGGAAAACACATTCCCACTGCCAGTGGGCCTCTGAGGGTAGTGAGCATTCTCACTAGCAGGGTACTGAGCATTCTCGAATACATCTTAAGAGCTCTTTTGCTTGCCTGAGGCTGCAGGATATTCCCTGGCTCTTCTGATTTCTGGGGAGCTCCAAGGGGTATTACCCATTCCCAAAAGGAGGGTCCTCTGAGTGCAGCTACATCCACTTCTGCTACTCAGATGTTTCTGGCTGGGAGCAACAGACTGAGAGACAAAAGGGATCTGTAATTAGCAGCCACACCTATTTTAATGGCATCTTTGCTTCCCCCATGTGAGTCTTTACCCTAAGTCACTAAGTCAGTGGTGGAGAATTAATGGAGCCATTAGAAAGCCAGCAGTCATCCCTCCTGCACTGTTCAGGGATCTCTTTCATTCCACGTTATGGGATGGTGGGTTTTCTTCCTGTCTGTGCTGGAGCATGATGTAGGTACAGGCCTTAAAGGAAGCAGATGCACCAAAGACCCAGAGAAGAACTCTGGGCTGGTGTTGGTGGAAAGGAGGAGCTGCCTCCCAGACCATCTGTGTGCAGGGCAAGACACGTTGTTTCTGTCCCTCTGGGGTGGGATGTGTGTGCACAGCCAGAGTTGCAGCCATGCTGCAGTGGGGTCTTAGTGCTGTTTAATCTCATGTAGAGAGTTACTGCAGGAGCCAGAATAATAGTAACTTGCAGGAGCGTCTGCCCTGACAGCTCTGGGCGGGGAGATGAGCGTTGCCTCCATCAAGTAAACAGCCCTGAGAGGAGTGCTCTGTGGTGACCTTTCAGGGCTAATTAAAGCAGGTTTGGTTTGCCTGAGCTTGGTTGACATCAGCTGGGCTGTTCAGTGCTGCATGTGTGTTGGGAATGTACCCCCATGCTTCTCCTGGTGACCCACAGCCTCTTTGTAAGGCTGATCCTGGAAGTTTTTAATTTTCTATTTAAAGTTTTTTTTTTAAACAATTAATTAATTAATTTTTATTTTTAATCTATGGCTTGAGATAAAATAGGTTGCTTGCACCTTGCTAAGGATTGCTTTATGTTTCTCCTGTCAAAATGTGATTATACTGCTCTGTTGTGTCCTTAGAGGAAAAAATTGTCATCCAGGATATCACCCAGTAACTGAAATATGTTCATGAAGTTGAGTATTAAGCAGCACCTCGAGGCTGGTGGCCAACAGGGACTCTTAACTGAAAAATGAAGGGCTCAGAGTCCATGATCCATCAGCCATCCCAGCCACATGGAGAGTTGGAGCGGGCACTGCTGGAGCCAGTAAGGAGCAGTGGTCTGGCCACAGCAGAAGTGACAATGCTCATCTCTGGCTGTTGCATTAGAAACAACTGTATGAGTTTGCAGCAGACCTCTTCTAGGCTCCTGGGAGAAAGCCTGGCTCCTCAGGGAACTCCAAATTCACAGCTGGGCAAGTCTAAGACAGAAAGCTTCTGATGCTGATTGGTACAAGGCAGGAATAACTCGTCTTGGGAACGCAAGTGTGTCCCCAGGGCATGCGGTATGGCTGCTCCTGTTCAGAGCTTATTTGTAACCTGAATTTCCCCAGCTGTGTCTGGGGTGTGTGGGTTGGTTGAGCTACACTCCCATGAGCCCTCCGCCTGTTTGGGGAGGTTCTTGGGGCTGCAGCTCACTGGCAGATTATAGAGCTGCTGCTACTTAAGGGTGCCTGTGGGTGCCTTCCTCTGATGTCAACAGATGCTCCCAAGCTGTCTCTTCCCTTGCTCTGAAATGCCAAGCAGAAAAGGCACAAAGTAGATGAGACCACCTGTGTTGGAGGTCTCTGCTTGCCCTGTACCTCTACACATGAAGCAGCTGGAAAGCACCCCGTCATTGTCCTCTCTACTCCACAGTCCTGATCCCCCAGGGCAGCCAAATTCTGCTGGAGTTAAATGCCACAGTGAGCTAATCCAGGTGACAAGGGCCTCTTCTCTGCCTATCTCTGCGTCCACGTCTGGGTTCAGCAGCACTGTTGAGAACCAGCATCTCGCTGGCAAATCACCTTCAGGATGTGTGAGGGGGTTCCCAGGGCAGCTCGTGTGCAGCAGGAGGTTGATGACCACTTCACAGGATTGCTTTTTTCCCTGTCCTTTTGGCAGTAGTTGCTCACAAGCTTGGATGTCTGCTCAGTTGTCTCCTTTCTGGCTGTTTCTTTCCTTCAGCATTATTATTTTTTGCTTAATGTTAATGCTTTTGCCCATTGTTAACCCTTTGCCCATTCAAATGGCAGAATGCTGCTCAGGTCAGTGCACCCATGAAAATGGCTACTGGGTTTCCTTAGCTGTCTGTGCACAGGGAGAAACTGCAGTTCTGTGGGGCCTAAGCCATGGTTGTGAACAATTCCAGATCAGAAGCACAGGCTTATATTCCACATGGTTTGGCTATTTTTAAATGATGGTATAAACAGGAGACTTAGGTGATACCTCCTCATTTTCTTAAATTACCTGTCTGGGTCCCTGCTGGAAGGGATGGCACTGTACTTGCAGGAGGATGAGTTGGAACCAGACTAAATGCGTGTTCTGCAGCTTGTGTTACAGGGCTAGTGTTTCCCTTCAGACCTGCTGCATTACTTGTCATCTGTGAGCACTCAAGCTCCCCACAGTCGTCTGCCTTCAATGAAAACTGCACTGCAGAGCCACGTGGTCAATTGGGGGATCATCAGTGAAATTAAATGTCTTTTGCTAATTGGTTTCAAACTAGAGATGAGACGCCTGTAATTCAGCCACTGTCAGCTGTCACATATTTTGTGAATGTACATGGTACTGTGCTTTTCATTGCCCCAAAAAGGCAAATCCCTCAGGAAAGCAGGGGGCAGAGCCAGCTCTCGAGGAGCAGTTATGCTTTGGGTTTGCTATTTCATTCTTAAAACACATTAGCAGGTTTGCAGCTCAAGAAGAGGAGATGGGCAAGAAAGGTGAACAAAGGAAGGTTGCTTCAGGATGCTCAGCCTGTTGGAGTTGTGGGTTCAGTGGGCTTTTGAGTCAAGTCTTCCACTTCACCTGCACTTTGGTGAATTTTCAGGCCAAATTGCTGTAAGGGAAAATGTGTGTGTGTGTTTTATCCTTGTGCATCCAAAGTTTGTTTGAAAAATGATTGTTGCCCTGCATAAGCGATGCAGAATTATAAAAGATCCAGAATTATAAAAGATTCCCCTCCCTTGCGTGGCTGCCAAGGCTGGAATGCTTTGGGAACTGTTTCCTTTTCTTTTCCTGCTGCCTGCTCTGCACCCCAAAGCAGTGTCTCTCCTCACAGCCACCCTGTTGCTTTGCAGATGCTGCTTCCTGCACGTAGCCAGCTGTGCTGCTCACTCAAGGGAGAGGAATAAGCATTTAGCTCCTGTCAGCCCCATGGCAGGGGAAGCGTGTCTCTGTCTCCTCAGGCACTCACAGGATTAGTTTATGATTGGTTATGTGATGTGTGGCAAAATATCACCAAAAGCTGGAGAGGGGTAGGGGCTGCCTGTGGGTGGGTTCGGCCTTTCCTTGTGCTCTGTATGGAGAAAGGAGACCGGCCCAGGTCTCTGAGGCCTCCTGGGATCCAGAGTGCTGGCAGCTAGCTGAGCAGATTTGGGCTGGGTCTGAGTGATCCCCACAGTGATGTTTCTGGTAGTTCTACTCCAAAGGGACAGAGCAGAGCATGGGGCACTGGGGGGACTGGGTTTCACAGGTTTTCTGGGTTTCTTCCAGGGAAATCTCTTGGAAGCTGTTTGCCCAACAGTGTATGGGCATATCATGGTCCAACGCTGAGGGCCACGAGTTAGAGAAGTGACAGCATTGCGGGTCTGTGAAGAAAGACTTTAGTGACCCTCCCTCCTTACAGGCAGCAAGAGGCAGAGGAGCCAGGGAATTGGGGAAATGAGGTCTAGCCTTGTTCTGCCACTGCCTCTCCTGCCCTCCTCCTTCCCTAGGTGCATGATGTTGCCAGATGAAGTTGAACAGGGTAGTGGATGCCAGAAAGACATGTTTTACACACATTTCTCATAGTGTTTATTACTTAGCAAGCTATTTAAACAGACTTCTGGAAGGACTCAGCTGTCCTCTGCTGGCCCTGCATCCTGCATCAGAGTCAGGAAATCTATCCCTGCTGTAGCTCTATAGCTTGTGGCTATGACTTTTTTGCTCCCTGCTCACTTGTCTGCTTCAGTGGGTTGCTCCAAAGCGTTAGGATCATCCCAGCTCACGAGAATTCAATGCAGTTGTGTCCTGGAGGCTGTTAAAGCTCTGTGTGTGTAAGTGACACTTGTATGTTGTCAAATGATTTCCAAGAGCAGTATCGGGGGGTGGGGGGTGTCTGTTTGGAGATGGCCCTGAGTAAGGCAGGAACCTGAGGATCTCAACATGGGCCTGGAGGGGATTCAAGGCTAGAGCTGCTCTCTTGGAATGTGAATTTCAATCCCTTGCTCTGGGATTTTTCCTGAAGCTGCCAAGTGGTGCCCATGATGGGCAGCTGGCTCCAGTGCTGATGCAATCGGTGATTTGTCTGAGCTGTGAGATGATCCTTGTTTGTAAGAAAGGGCAGAGAGGTCTGGTCCCACTGCTGCCCTATTGAGTGTCCTTCCTTGCCTTGCCCTGGCATCTTGCCTTGCTTTCCCTGGATGAGAGCACAGCCCAACAGGGTTGGGCTGACAGCGCTGCCAGTGACAGATATAGAGCAGAAGGCAGATTTGGGGCCAGCTGTGAGCTGGCATGGGAGCAGCAGGATGATGAGTTCTCCAATGCTGGTGCTGGTGGCATAGTGCAGGTTAAAGTGCACCCTGGATCTCTATCACTTCTGCCTGAGCAGCTGCAGAAGGAGAGGAGGGTGGTGAACACATGCTGGTAACAAGCACTTCCCTGTGACTCTGAGCTGTGCTCTCCTTGGCCCCACAAGCATTTCTGTGCTCTTGAGTTGCATTAGTCTTTATCCTGGGATAGAGGGGAGCCTCTGTGGCTCTAAGGCTGTCTTCTCCCCTTTGTATTTCCCCACCCTGTGCTCCTTTAGGTTAAAGTTTTTGTTTCCCTGCCACACCCTGAGCACCTGGACACCTTGCTCATGTGTTCCCAACCTGCTCTGAATGCTGTCATCGATGTTGACATGCAAAGTCATCATAGTGACTTGACAACAGAGAGTCACAATCATCTGTGCCAACTCCAGTGTGCTCTGAAGGGCTTTTGCCCTGTTCTCCTTGGTCAGACAGCCTGCCCATCTCCTGCTGGAAAGAAGCTGAGTCTGAATGATCCCAGTAGCATTTCACAGGAGCTCTTGCATACTTTTGGGATTCCCTAGTGTGTAGCCCTGGCAGGTCTGAGGCCAGGACAGCCCTCGGGAATGGTGGCATTCACAGGAAATCTGGAATGGGGTCAATGACTGGAGAAAAGTGGGGTGCAGGAAACGAAACTAATCCAAATCTGGAGTATTTATTTTTGTCTCTTTTGTTTTTCTTCCTCCCTCCCCAAATCTGTTTCAGCAACTGTACCAGATCCTGACAGACTTTGATATTCGGTTTTATATGTATGAGCTGCTGAAGGTGAGTGGCATTGCATATGGCAGTCTGGATGGGGAGACCAGGAATGAGAGCAGCGGTAGCAGGGCTCGTGGGGCAGTGCTAGAGTGGTTACTTCTCCTGTGTTCAGTGCAGAATCCATGTCTCATAACCTGGGAAGGCTTGGGAAGAGATCTGGTTACCTGGCTTGTTGCTGTGAGGTATTGCAGCCAAACTGGGGACCTTAGGTCACCTCCAAAGAGCCTCTGATTCTCTGGGGTCTGTACTTTCCTCAGGAAGCATTTGTGACTGGTAGTCACCAGGTAGGGCTGTGCTTGGTCTCCCTGTGTCTCCAGCACCATTGAGCTGCTGCTGGCTCCCTCCAGCCAGACCCAGGACAAGCACTGAGAGGCATTTGCAGGGCTGGAGAGCTGGGTTTCTAGGGAGACTGGAAGAGAGGGATTACCAGCTGCAGGCTTTGTTCTGCTGCACTGTTCAAATGCAGACCCAGAAGGTGACTTCTGCCCACTTGATCTTAGACTCCTGTTTCTCTGGGTGGGGGATCTAGGGCACATCAAGAATAAGCTGGCCAGCTCAGTGCCCTGTGGTCACAGAACCCTGGGAACGTGGTCATGGGGAACAAAGCTTCTGGTTATGCCAGCTGTTATATGTTGATATAACACTGGTATTTTCCTTTGAGACCTCCCAGCCAAAGCTTTCCTTGCCCTTCTGATGAAAGCTGAGGAGTATCCTAAATACCTCCTCTTAACTAGCCTAGCTTGCACTTCCCCGTGGAAATGCTCAGGGAGCCACATGGCAGGTCTGTGAGATGTGCTGCCCCTTCTCAGGGGTCTCCAGCTGCAGGATGTGGGAGGTGGCAGGGCATTAGGGAGAGCTTCCAGATTCAACCCATCCAAGGCAGTTCTGTGCTGACCTGCTGGAGCAGCAGCTTGGCTGTGTCAGGTCTTAGCAGGGCCTTGGGATTTCTGGGCTGGCACTTTCCAATTCTCCAGCCTCTGGAAATGAGTGGAACAGGTGAGGGAAAGCCCTTTGTGCTCCAGGACTTGGTGACTGCAGGAGACTTCCTGAAAGAGATCTAGCAGGCCTGAGGGAGGCTTTCTTCTCTGCACCCCCAAGCTTGTTCATCTGTCTGCAAGGAAAGGACCTTCCTACTGGAGCCTAAGGCAACCCGGGATTAGGGTGGGAGGAATGATGAAGTTTAGATGATCCAGCCTTGGCAACACAAGACACTAGAACAGCTTCATCCCTGGAAGCACTTTGTGTAACCTGTTCTAGATCTCCTCTACTGGAGATCCCAGGACCACAGTGCTGTGAGTCCTGTGGGTTGTGAGGCCACATGTCATTGCAGGGATATTTTCTCAGGCCTTGCTGTGATGGAAGCTTTTGCCTCCTTGCTTCCTGCTGTGGCAGGGGCCCAAGGACAGCGTGGCTTCCCTGGCACTGGTGTCTTGCATATTGAATGACTGCAGGCTGTACCCTCTTTCCACGCTGCTGGAGATTTCATAGCATCTGATAGATGTTGATGGATGGATCTCCCTCCCCTTGGAGATGAGAAAACAACATTCTCACCCCCCTGCTCAAGGGAACAGCTGCGTTGGGGGGGGCAAGTGGTGCAAGGTCATGGAGCTGGAGAGCTTATGTGTGCTCCTGCCTTCAAGCTTGAAGCAGCTTTGCTCTCCCTCATGTGCTATCACTTTTTTAACTGCAGGTTTGGCTTAAATCAGCAGGATAGAGGTGACTTTCTGGCTTAAGTGTGTTTCAGGGCACAGGTGAAAAGCTGCACTGGAAGGCCATAAAAATGTATGCATGTAAGAATCATCCCCTTCTGGGGAAGAGAGCATGACCTAGGAAGCACAGGGCTACCCAGGCTGGAGCATTGGGCTTGTCACCGGGTGGGACACGTCTCTGGATCGTGCTCTTCAATGATTGTGCAGGGAGCACAGTTCCAAGACTGTGACTGCAGTCAAGATCCATAAAGGCTTGTTGCCAGGATGCCACTTCATCCACGTGCAGCATAAGAGCTGAAAATGCCAGTTTCTTGTGCCAAGGTTACGGCACTTCCTCATGAGCTCTTGCTCCTGGCTGAGAACTGTCTGTTATATTGCTAATGCTGTGCCTGTGGTTACAGCCATGTCTAATGTGTGTGTGTGTGTCTGCCAGGCCCTGGATTACTGTCACAGCATGGGAATCATGCACAGGGATGTCAAACCCCACAACGTCATGATAGACCACCAACAGAAAAAGGTACTGTGACACCAGGGCTTATAAGCAAGGTTTTTCCAGGAAAACTTGAAACTGCTGCCTCTGTACCCATAGCTTGGGCAGCTGCACAGACCCCTTTAATCTTTCTTTAGTGGCTCCCCTCCACCTGTGACAGCATCAGGAGATGGCCAAAGTCCCACTGGGGAGCACCACAGTGGGAGTCCATGGCTTCCTCACTGCTGGGATGTGCTAGTTAGGTCACAGGAAATGCTTGTACCCAGCTCACTACCGTGGAAATGGGCAGCACAGGGACTTCTCCCATCCTGGTACTCATACCCCATTGGGTGCTGTGTGTACCTGCCCCAGGGACCTGGTTCTGTAGCAGGGAACTAGTTGCTGCTCCACAGATCTTTTCTGCCAGTCAGCAGAGGCTGAACAGGCAAGACAAGGATTATAAGGAAGGGAATCTCTTACTGGACCCACTGTCCTTCAGTAACACAGCAGGTCATCCATCCCTGGGGCTGCAGAGGAGATGGTCTGCCTTTCAGGATGTGGTGAACCCCCCTCCTACCCTGTTTTTTGCTCTCAGCTCCCAGGTAAAATCAACACTGCCTTCAGCCCAGCCTCTCTAAACAGTGGGATAAGACTTCTATCTGTTGCCTAGTATGCAACGACCTGTCTGCTGTGGCTGATGGTGCTGGTCAGGAGCCAGCTGCCCAGCAGTAACAGTGTGCTTGGACTCAAGGAGGCAGAGCAGCTCTCTAAGCTGGGCTTTGCTCCACAAGCTGGTGTTAGGGGAAAGAGCCTGAACAGAGCACTGCTGAGAGCATTCCCTGTCATCAGAGGACCTCCCTCCACCCCAGGCTCTACACTTGCTCAAGGGATTGAGAGGTTTGGCCAGCATGGCCTCACCTAAGTGGCTCCTGACTCTGCGTGTCTTTATTGTGTGTCCAGCTGCGGCTCATAGACTGGGGTCTGGCCGAATTCTACCATCCAGCTCAGGAATACAATGTCCGTGTGGCCTCCAGGTACTTCAAAGGACCAGAGCTCCTTGTGGACTACCAAGTAAGAGTCTGTCTCCTCCTTGCTACCCAGTGATGTCACTTGTGGCTGCACTTTAGCCACCTTTGGGTTGTCTGGTTTTGCCTGTCAGGGCATTGCCTGGGTTGGAGAGAGGCTGGCTGTGAAGTGCAAAGGCTGAGGCTGCCTGTGCAGCTGGGGAACCGGGCTGTGGTGAGTGTGCCTTTTCTGACAGCTTCTCCTTTTTCCCCTCAGATGTATGACTACAGCTTAGACATGTGGAGTTTAGGCTGTATGCTGGCAAGCATGATCTTCCGAAAGGAGCCCTTCTTCCACGGCCAGGACAATTATGACCAAGTAAAGACATTGCTACCTGGCTTATTGTGTGAAAAGTTTGTCCCCAGCTCATCTCTGTGTGTGTGGTGGGGAGGTTCTGAGGGTCAGATCACCATGCTGGGAGGATGTTGTTGCATGTTGGTTAAGCCATCTGGGATTTTGCTTCTCTGCCTTGTGTAGGAATTTTTTTTCTGCACGCGTTGCAAAAACAAGTTTCAAGGGAGATATTCCTTCCATCTGGGATGTTTCCAGAAGGACTGCTCTTAGATTTGGGCAGCTCTGCCTCTGCAAAAGAGTGGTGGGCTGCCCTTCTGCTCTCTGAATATGCCTTTTGTTCCAGCTGGTTCGCATCGCGAAGGTCCTGGGCACAGATGAGCTCTATGGGTATCTCAAGAAGTACCACATAGAACTGGACCCACACTTCAATGACATCCTGGGCCAGTAAGTGGAGAAGTGAAATGCTGCCCTTTTTCCTTGTGACACAGAGAGGGAGATAAACTGATGTCTGTGCCCTGGAAGCACTCTCAGCAAAGGCCTGCTCGATCTTCTGGGTCACAGTGCTGCTTGCATCATGTCATCACTGAAATGCAGGCTCTTTCCTTTTGCCTCTCCCTGTTTCTTCTCCCTCCTGCTCATTCACATCCTCAAAGTGGAGGTGTAGACACTGGAGTTGAGCATGGGCTGAGTTATTGAGTCTCCCAGCTGAGATTCCTGAAAAGGACAAGAGGTGGATGGAATAGTGAGGACAACTTCTGTGAGGCTGGCTGGCAAGTCAGAGAAATTCTGGTCCCAAGGATGTCACCCTGCCTGCTGCCACATGCCATTGTCTAGTCCCTGTAGACAGAAAGGATCATGCCTTTTCTAGGCACAGGACATCCATACAATTGTGTAGGTATGGAAGAGGGTTTCCCCCTTTCAGTAGGTGTTTGCTGAGCAGTCACCTGTGCAAGGAAAAGCTGTAGGCAGCGTTCATCACAGCCTCTCTTCTCAGAGGAGGATTGTGGCGGGTGATTCCCCCGGGACCTCTGGGTACTGCTGTGCTGGTGACAGCTGGTCCCTTTGCAGGCATTCCCGGAAGCGCTGGGAGAACTTCATCCACAGTGAGAACAGACACCTGGTCAGTCCTGAAGTCCTCGACCTCCTGGACAAGCTCCTGCGATATGACCATCAACAGAGGCTGACTGCCAAGGAGGCCATGGAGCACCCCTATTTCTGTGAGTCTGTGGAGTAGCTGGGGCCAGCTGGGATGGAGCTGTGGGTTGTGGAGGTGAATTTTGGCTCCCTGCTCCACAAAAGCCTTAGCAGCTCTGTGAGTTTCCAGGGCAGCTTCTCTGGAAGGATTTGCCCGGGTGGAGCTTCCGCTTTTATTAAATACTGTTTCCTCTTCCTGCCTGCTCTGTCTCCTGCAGATCCAGTGGTGAAGGAGCAGTCCCAGCCCAGCTCAGAAAACGCTGTGCTCTCCAGTGGCATGACAACAGCACGATGAGGACTGGAAAACGACGGGTAATTCAAGATGTTTACAAATAAAAGCAAAACCTTCGGTCACACAGTGAAGGGAAAAGAACCAAGGACCCCCCCCCTTCTTCCCCTCCCCTTTATACTCGGCAGAAATCTAACCTTGGGGGGGGTCATAAACCTCAGTTCCTCTCTGGTGGTTGTGGTTAATGTAACTCTAACCCTGTGGTACCAAAGCCCTGGGCAAATGGTCTTGCAAGAGCTAAACATGTAGTGATATCCCCAGGGCTCCACACAACTGATTCTGGTTCACATCTCTATGGATCCTTCTCTTCCTTCTCAGTCCAGCCTTCCCCACCACGCTGGTGGGGACAAATTGGTCGTTCTACCATCAGCCCTTAGCATGCCTCTTTCTAAACTTGCCTTTCTGACTTGTAGTCTCTGAATGAACCAAATTCAGGCTGGGGGTCAGCAGGTGCAACTCTGTTTTGAGGTCTAAGTCCTTACTGCTCACTCTGGGCTTGAATTTGGCCCTTGAATTCCAGTTTCAATTGTGAATGCCGGGGTGGTTGGGGGGAGGGCGGGGGGGGGAGTTTGACAAAAAACAACCCACAAACCCAGCAGCATCTCAGGATTAGTTTGGAGCATTTAAACGAAGGCACTGATCCGAGTTGCTGGGGAGAGGAGATCCCCCCCTCCAGTGTGTTTGACAAAGGCTCGCTCTGAGAAGAAACTCAATAGACCTGCTTTGGAAACTTGTGAATGTGAGGGCTGCTCTTGTGGCAGGAGAGGGGAGGGACTATCCAGACTTTCCCACCGAGCTCAGGAAAGTCAGTGTTGCAAGATTTCTTGTGATAGGTGTGCAACCACGTACCTCATGACGTGGCTCCCATGAGAATTTGTGCCAGACGCAGACTTGTGCCAGAGCACAGCTCTGGGGCGGTTCAATCCAGCACCGCAGGATGGAGGAGTGGAGAGGAGGCCAGGGAGGAGAGCACAGGGAGGGGGGAGGATCAACAAACAGCGTCGGGGCGGGGGCTGTGCAGCTACTGATCCAGGACTTGGGATCCCACACAGTGTTTTAACAAAGTCAGCCATTTGTTGAATTCTGGGGTGCCGATCGTGTCGGGGGGTGGGGGGTTCGTCTTGTGGGTTCTTTCATCAGATCCCTCGATGGCTTTATAGCCCCACAATTCACAGTTGCCTCCTCTACTTGTTCTGTGTGTAACTTCATCAAGTGGTTCTGGTGACACTCAAACCTAGACGCTGGAGATAGTGTTTTCCCACCAGCACCTAAACACAGAATTTCCTTCTGCGGCATTGTTGAAATAGTTAATTTTTTTATAAGGTTGCAATGTTTCTATTTGAAACATCTGTTTACATTCCATATTCCAATAAAGTTCTATTGGCATCGACAGCAGGTCAATCCATTTGTATAATTCACTGAAACCAATAAATATCTATACGTCTGAACGTCTGCCGTCTCAAATCTATGTGATAGCCAGAGGGCCTGAGAGCTGAAGGCCTTGTCTCCTCCAGGAGGGCAGGTTGGCTCTTCCAGCCCCTCTTGTCTGAGTTTTTTGGGATGTCTCACTCAGTCTTTGGTTGCAGTTCTTCATGCTGTCAGCCCTGAGAGTTTCACTGTGGCAGATAGTCTGCGCTGCCACGGGGCTGCAGAGGAAGTGTGAGATTTTGGGAGTCGGCTCTTGAGGTACATTGGACTCAGACAGCCGGTGCCTGAGGGACCATCCTCGGGCTGTCTGTTACTTGGCAGATCAGACCAGGTCACCGATGCGTGGCTGGAAGCTGGGGGGTCTCCACGTGTGTACCCCCTGCTCATCTGCTCTCAGCCTGGGGGGATGGCTTTTTCTAAAGGTGTGCTGAGCAGGGAGTAGTTCTTCTTTCCTCCCACCCTGGGAGGTGAGTGGTGCACGAGAGCAGTTGTGTGTGTCCAGGCTGAGGAGCAGCCTGTGATGTGCTGCTGTGCCACATGGTCTTGCTGACATTTGCTCTCCTGCTGAGGCCACTGAAGGTGTTGGCGAGTGTTCACCAGCCCTCTCTTCCATCTGCCCAACCTCTGGGCTGCCTGGCCTGAGGGGCAGGAGGGTCTCTTGTGCTCTTAAGCTGTGCTACTACCAGCAGGGCTGATTTGGGGTTTTAACATCGAGTTTTGGACCGATTTTTAAACATGTATTGAATTGCTCCATGGAGAAGTGGCAGGAGTGGATGTTTCTCATGGCCTGTCCGAGTTGCTATGGGAGAAGCTTGTCCGTTTTCCAGCTCTTGTGTGTTGGCATTCCCAGCTTCTGGAGGGACAAGGCAGAAGAGGTGTGGAGAAAAATGGGTTGAGTGTGGGAATTTTAATAGGTGGAAAATGTTGGTCGCTGCATATGAGTGCTTGATAGTGTCCAAACCTGATTGTGGAATTTCAAGGTGGTGCTTTGGGAAGTATTGTTTCTGTAAACTTGAGTCAGAAATTCTTTCCTGGTACCCTCAAGCAGAGAAAGTGAGTTGTTCTTCCAGCAAATTACATGGTTTTCCCTGGTTGCAGTAAGCAGAGAGGCTGGAACAACCTGCCCCTTATCTCCCCACATCCCTACCCCAGCTCTAGAGTAGGATGAGCAGAGACAGATTGATCCCGGAGGAAAACAGCAGCTGAGCAAGAGTAGCCTGGGAGCAAGAGGGTGTGGATCCCAGGGATCTGATCCTAGGGCAGTGTGGATGCTTCACTGCAGCTCGTACCAGTTTGTCTCTGCAGCCAGCGGCCCTCCCAGCACTCGGAACAGAAAACCCTTCTCTCCTCTGGACCTTAGCAAAGTGTCCTCCTGCTTGTAGGGACAGCTGGGAACTGGGGATGAGTGTCTTGTCCTGAGGAAGTAAGAGGACTGAGAGACATGCATCTTCATTCCTGGCCTTTCAGGTGGCCTGGCCCCAGCTTTCTAGCAGAGGTAGAGTGTGGGTTTGGCTGAATGCCTTGTAAGAGGAGAGGCTCCAAACCAGAGCCCTGGCAGGCACTGAGGGATGCAGTAGGAGATGGATGCAGTAAGCAACTTCGCCACCTTGCCCGTGCCTGTTTCTAGTGTGCTGTGTCATGATGGGAGTCTTGAATGGGTCTAGAGAAGGTATTTGCAGCAGCAGAGGGAAACTTAACACAGGAGGCTGGGGAGAAAAAAGTCCAAACTTGTGTCTGGCTGTCCATGAAAGTTCTGCTTTGCTGGACTACGTCTCCCCATTACCTTCCTCGGTCCTGCCTTCCCCTCTTGCCCCTTCCAAAGCCAGGCTTAGGTTCCCCTGCTGTCCCCACATCCAGAGGGCCATGGAGAGTACCCCAGAGGGTGGCAGGACGTAGGGCAGCGTGCCCAGCCATCTCCTCGTCGCCTGGTGCTGGAGGAGCTCTGCACTGAGCTGGCAGTGCCCCGTGACGCTCACTTCCCTCCTCCCGTCTCTCCTCAGGTCCGATGCTGTTGCTCCCAATTTTCCATAAGCAGAATGAGAACCAAATCAAACGTCCCATCGGCGCGTGTAGAGCGACGGCGGGCGGACTGCGCGGCGCGGGCAGGGCTCGGAGCGGGCGGCGCGCCTGGGCCGGACGGCACTCGCCCCGCGGTGACCTCAGCCCTTCCCTCCGGGCCTTAAAGGTTCTCCTGCCTCTGGTTCCTTGTTGAGCTCTTCCTGACCCAGAAAGCATGGAAATGTGAAGGGTGTGCAAAGCAGTTGTTGGTTAGTTGTTCCTTCCTCTGTTCTGGCTGTTGCCCCCCCCAGCCCCTGATGGACCACGGTTAGCCAGCTTGTGCCCGTCTCTGCCAGGACACAGGGGCTGCAGGGGGTGTAGTATCATGATGGACAGTTCTATACTATAATTAAAAGAATTCTATATTGTTGAATAAAAGTTTTGAAAGAAGCATGCAAGGAGGAGTATTCAGTGGGGAGGGAGCTGCAGAGTGCTGGCAGTGTGAGCTGTTTGCTGTGCCCTGCTGGGACAGGCTGGGCGAGGAGAGCAGGAGGAACTTGTACAAAATCACCGTGAGCAGAGGCAGAGGAGCCACTTGCCACCTTTGGGGGTGTTCCTCCTTTGGAGGTGTCTCTCCTTAGGCCCCACACTCTTATGGAGGTACCTGCCTGGGTGGTGGTCTGAGTGCTAATGTTGATACCTGCTTTTCCTGTCCCGGGAGGGCTTGAGCATGGCTCTGTCTCTGTACCACTGGAGCTCCCATCTCTTCCTCTTTCTTGGTCTGAGGCCCTCCTCCTTCCCAACACCATCACTGCAAAGCCCTGAGCTTGGAGCTCCTGCCCATGGGCCTCTGCATTGCAGGAGTTCCCCTCAGATGTGGTGCTTCACAGGCAGCTCTTGGGAGAGTCTGGCTGCAGTGCTGGTGGTTTGGCTAGGCTGGGCTCTGGTCTTAGATGTTAATGGACTGCTTGAAACTCTGGTCTAAAAGCCTCCAGCTGGAATCTGCGTGACTGTACACGGTCATTTTTCTTCTGTTGTCCCATTCCTTCACTGCTCATATGTTTTTCCCTACACAGTTTTTCCTATACTGAAGCTGCCCAGGCTAAGGGTACCTCTGAGGCAAGGCTTTTGCCTGGGAAAGAGAGACCTGTTGCTGGTTCCCAGGGAGGGGAGTTCAGGTAAGGTGAGTCATGGGCTCCTGCCAGCACAGAACCACATGGAGCTGCTCTCACCCAGCCCTGGGCACTGGCCAAAGTGGAAACCCAGGAGTGAGTCCTTGCACAAAGCCTGTGAGGGGTACAGGTGGAAATCTGTCCTGGTGTGTCAAACACCTGGAGATGTGCAAATGTGGGGCCAGATGTGGACATGGGCATCAGGTAAGTTCAACCTATTGGTGCTGTAAGGCAGAGCTTGGTCCATTGCCAAGGCACGGTGTAATGACAGCCCTGTTGTATCCAGGACTCTGCTGACCTCTGGCAAAGAAAGTCATCAAGACTTTGGCCAGTGGTGAGAGCCTGTCCCTGCAGGGAAGAGCCCTTGCCAGAGTCCACCTGAGGTTCACAGGCACTGGGCAGCAGTGCTGGGAGCTTGTGCTGAACTGAGGTCCCTGCAGCATGGTGGCACATCCAAGCACTGTTGCTGCTTCATCCATCCATCCATCTCCTGACGCTGTTGGATCATGTTCCCCATTCCCACCTGCTGCCTGCTGCAGTCCACATGCTCTCCAAGTCATCAGCTTGTGTCCAAAGGATGCTCCTGGTGACCCTTTTAACTGTGCTTTGTTAGAAATAAATTCTTTGCCTACCTGTTTTTGTCTCCACTTTGTCTGACATCAGAAAGGTTTTCCTCATTTTCACCCCTTGCTCCATTTGTTGCATGGGTGTCCCACCAAGGCAATGTGGTCTCCTTCCCTGATTTTCTCTCCCCAGTTGCTCCAGCACATATTGGCACTGCCTTCTTCTGCACCCACTGATGGTTACACCCTTGTTCTCTTCTGATCCCTTGCTCAGCAGCAGCTCAGCTTCCTCCTGTACTGCTCAGAGTTCAGCCAGTATGGGATGCACAGCATTTCTCTGGGTTCCTTCAGCACCCAAAGTCACTTTTGGGCCTTGCCTCGCCTTGCATGTGGTGGCTTTGGATCTCCTGCCCGATCTTCTTTTTAGTTTCCTCATTACAGCTGCCCTTCATCCAGTGCTGCTTCTGCAGGAAAATCCAGGCTGGAGTCATCTGGACAAATCACAGGTCCTCACACTCCTGTAGGAGTCATTGCTTTGTTCTTGGTTTTGCCATGCTCTGAAGGCTTTTGGCTCACAAAGCAACTGACCGAATTCTGTGCTGGTTTTACTGGTCCAAGCACTGTCCTTGGATCTGGCCCAGCCCCAGGCATCTGCTCTCCAGTGATGGCCTCAGCCAAGAGGGTGTTGGCCTGGGTTAGGATTTCCCAGTGAACCTGGACTGGGTGCTCCAGGGCAAGCACAGACTTGGTGATACTGGAGAGACCTGCTACATTTTGCTCTGCACCCAGCAGTGGGAAACTTCAGAGGAGCAACATTTCAGAAGCTTCCTGAAGATCTCATTCCTCTGAAGGCATCGGATTGCTGGCAAGTCTGAAGGGCAGGAAATATTTTAGTGGGCAGTTATTTCTGGAGCTGGCAACCTCTGCTCACTTCTTGGACCATAGTATTCTGTTAGGATGGGCCTTTTCCTCCATCTGCTCCCCAAAATCCAGTCCCTCTACATTCTGGAAATTGGGATGATGTACCATGCCAACATCTTCCTTCTGATCTTCCAGGTGGATAACATCAGTGTGTGAGTCTCTCTGAAATACATCTCGGGGAGGCCTTTTCCCAAATGCCAGCCCCAACCACTGATACGGGTTAGTGATTTACAGGCCTCTCTGTCTCTGTCCTCTCCTTTAGCCCACACATGCCCAAGGAAGGAGGAGAGGCAATGGGTATTTTGTAAAAATTAATTGAGAAACAGGGAAAATTTGAAACCACAACATATTTCTGCGTGCAGCAAAACATGACATTGAAGTGGTAAGTGGAGAGCTTGTGAACGAGCCGGCTGTTCAGGAATGGCAGCTGGATATTTGTCCCAGTTGTCTCTTACCATCTGATTAAGGGAACAAGTAATTTCATCGTGCCATATAAAGTGTACTCTAACCCACTGACTAAATATAGCTGATCATTTCTAACTAATGCCTTGTTTGTGAGAGGAATTGTCAAGGAAGGAGAAAGCTGTTAACCTGGGTACTGGGAGGGACTGAGCCCTTGGGACAATCAGCATTTGTGGCCCAAGGGAGAGACAAAAGCAGACAATGTTGTTGTCATTGGGATTTGGATGGGGCATTAGTTAGCAGCAAGGGCTACACAGGAGAAGCCTGGAGTTAACCTGAAGAACCATAAAGCTGATGCAAGATGGTAATTTTTGTGCTGTTTACTGTCTATACATTGAAAATAGATGGGACAGGTGTTATTACAGCAGGAAGAAATTTAATATGTGTCAGTTTAAAAATGTAATTTCTAGCCCCAGCTGTTCCTCTTAAGCCTCTTCAGCTGTGCAAGGCCCCATCTCTACTCAAAGACATTCTCACATCAGTAAATCAGCCCCCACCCCAATATTGCCAGGATTCTGTATCTTATCCCTGCCTGACTTAGATCAGCAAGTAGATGCAGGAGGTTCTGCACAGGTGGTGCTGATGTGTTTGGGAGCTTTCCTGCTCCTTCCTCGTGCTGTGTCCAGTCTGCCTGGTGATTGGTATCTCTGGTATCTGTCAGCTAGTGCAGAATCTGGCCCATTTCCATGTGGAAATGAAGCAGTTCTGGCCTGAAATGCTGTCTGAGGAATTCCACTATGACAGCAAGCACGATGCCATTCTAGGACAACCTCCTGCACCAGCTGATGCTCAGGAGGCTCCTCAGGAGTGCACGGGATTCCAGACATCCCGGTGGTTTCTGACATAGCAAGGCAGCAGACTCCAGCACCAGCACATCCCTGTGAGTGCAGCATTAGTGTGTGGCACAGAGAGCTCCGAGCACATGGCTGCAGCCAGCTCCAGCTTGGATGGCACTGGAGGACTGGGAAATGGCCTGATGGAGAGTGGTTGGGATGTGCCCACTGCCATTGTGTGACCGAAACATCCTTCTCTTCCACTCCCGTCAATGGTGTTTGCCTTTCCCTTGGCCACTGAGGTACAGGAAAGGGCCTGGGCCTGTCTTGGAAGACACGAGTCAGGAAACAGCTTGGGAGGGACAGGAGCTGCTTTCCGGAACTCTCACTTCATGGTAGTGCTCCCCAAAAACGCAGGTCCACAGGGGCAGGGCTAAGCTTTGAGCAGTGAGCTTTGGCCACTCCTGTTTTAATGGAACTGCTGGCATCGCACAGGAATTCCAAGAGGTGTGTGTACCTGCTGCTGCTCACGGGCTGCTCCTGGCAGCACCGGGACTGGGAGGGAGGGCAGGATGTGTCACCTGCTGGGGCAAGTGAAGGTTGGGCATCTGGGAATTAGTGGGGCTAAAGGAAGCGACAAAGTGGAACCAGCACCATCCAGATGCTTTAGTCTTGTAAAACCAGCACAGGGAGAAATGGAACCCCTCGGATGAAAGCGCAGAGCGAAGGCTGAGGAACACTTAAAGGGCAAAGAGCATCCTTGGGAACAGCAAACCACAGCGTCGCCTTTGGACTGAGGGTCGTGGATTGCAGGGGGAGAACTGGGATGTTTCAGCAGTGCCCCCCGCACAAGGCCCAGGGGCTCAGGGGACGTGGCACCAGCCACAGCGGACCGGGCTCGGCTGTGCGGCTTGGAACGGGCTCGGCTCCAGCAGCTCTGCCGAGTGAATCGAGGACAGGCCCGCGGCCGGCGCCCCGGTTGCCATGGCAGCGCCGCCACAACGCCGTCACCCGGGAAGTGGATCCGGGGCCGCCCAAAGTAGTTCCTCGGTGACGGCGGCGGCGCCGCGGCGCGGAGGGATCCGCCGTGTCCTGGCAGAGCGGCGGCCGCGGCCCGGCCCGGCCCGCCCGGCCCCGGCATGTTCAAGAACACCTTCCAGAGCGGGTTCCTCTCGGTGCTCTACAGCATCGGCAGCAAACCGCTGCAGATCTGGGACAAGAAGGTGAGCCGGCGGCGCCCGGGCAGCGGCGCGGCCTGGGGAGCGGAGAGGCCGCTCGCCTCCGCCTCCCGGGGCAGGCCCGGGGCCGCCGGGAACGACCGGGGGGGCTCCGGGCACCCGGGGGGGCTCTGGGCACCCGGGGGGCCGCTCTCGGGAGCCTGCCCGGGCCTGAGCGGCCGGGTGACCGGGACCCCGGGGAACGGGTTACTGGGACCCCCGAGTCGAGTTACCGGGACCCTCAGGCCCGGGTTACAGGCCTGGGGTCTTTTGGAGGGGATGTGTTATTAGAAGAGTATTTTCTAAAATAAAATACTCTTATAAGGGTATAAGAGGCTCAGTAGTGA